TATATATATATATATAATTTTTAATTTATAACATCTTATTAGCAGTATAACCCTAACGGAACATGTACATTCTGAGAATGTTTGGAGTATATCTGAACAGAATATTATTAATGTTCTCGGAACATTCGATATACGTACTAAGATGTACTGAATATATATTAAATAAGTTCTTATTTCCGCCCTACAATGGTTCGTAGTACATATTAAAAATATTCCATAGTATATACTAAAGATATCTACAGAATGTTATTATTATATTTTTGTGATATACCGGTATATCATGTATGTATATACTATATTATATATGTGTGTATATGTGTGTGTGTCTGTATATATTGCCTAGATTACATTAGGTTAAATAATTTTTTTTCTTAAATTTTATAAATGTTTTTATTATATATGTAACATATTACAAGCACTTACTACATATTAAATTTTTGTTGAAAATTCGGAATATAATCTTCCAAGAAAAAAAAATTTACATGTAGTGCAAACAATGGGAAGATCTTACAAATACTTTTTCTCTGTTGAAACACAAATAAAATAAACTAAAAAATAAAATGAAATACAAATTGAAGAAAACTTAAATTTATATATGTAATGCAAACAATGGGAAGATCTCACAAACACTTGTTCTCTGTTGAAACACAAATAAAATAAACTAAAAAATAAAATGAAATACAAATTGAAGAAAACTTAAATTTATATATGTAATGCAAACAATGGGAAGATCTCACAAACACTTGTTCTCTGTTGAAACACAAATAAAATAAACTAAAAAATAAAATGAAATACAAATTGAAGAAAACTTAAATTTATATATGTAATGCAAACAATGGGAAGATCTCACAAACACTTGTTCTCTGTTGAAACACAAATAAAATAAACTAAAAAATAAAATGAAATACAAATTGAAGAAAACTTAAATTTATATATGTAATGCAAACAATGGGAAGATCTCACAAACACTTGTTCTCTGTTGAAACACAAATAAAATAAACTAAAAAATAAAATAAAATACTAATTGAATATCTTCATTATTTCTTAACAAAGTAATATACAAATATCTATGTAATTTTTATAAATTGACTCCGATAGTTCACATCGGTAGATAGCTAAGTTAATATACTATTTTCTAATTGATGGTCTAGCGGAAAGATCCTAAGCACCAGCCGATGTAAATAAATATGTGCTATCGCACCGTGTGTTGATGGGACCCTTCCTTTTTTAAGTGACAATTTCTTATATGCATTATTTGTCATATGTACAAAAGATATAATTTAACAGTATTAATAATTGTAGACATTTTTTAATTCATTGAAGAAATAAACGTTACATATTCACGAATGTTAATTTGTAAAGAAATAATATAGTACTATTTAATAAAAACAAATGATGATTGTTTTTTAAATTTAACTTACTATTAATAGAAATGGAAGGAATCCTTTGAACTTGACCACTTGACATTGTACTTGACCACAGCCATTCATAGCGACCGATGCTTACAGTTTTTCCAGTCACTGCAAATGGTAATTAAACATGGTCAAACGCATTCTCCCCGCATAATTTCCTTAATATAATTTCTGCAAGTCTGAATAGTATAAAAAAATAACTCATACCAGTATCTTGTCTGTACTCCAAATTACATAAAGATCATAATATTACGCAAAGCATTAATAGTCTATTTATATTTGTTAAATATATTTCATAATTTATCATACACACATACAAAATTATTCTGCTTAAAATTTGGACTTACAGTTATTCTTGATT